CTATCAAAACGCCTGCCATTTGATATAAATAAATAATATTTAAGCACCCCAGTAATGATATCTGTTTTTTTCAGCGATCTCGACCGGACTTGCGTTATCCAGATCTATACGCGGAGATGTATGAGGTGAATGAAACTAGCTTTGTGCCTCATACTCTGACTCATATGTCAGCACTTACTGCCCAGTCGACAACAGACGCTATTAATGCGACCCACTTCCCATCAGCCTCCACGTTGATTCAACGACCGGCCATAATGCAGCAGCATCAGCAGCAGGAGCATCCAACCATTTCCCATTCCTCTATCGCCTCTCCTTTGGCCAATCCTCACTGGCCATCTCTGCCCACTAATGCCACCAATATGATCAAATCCGAAGATCCCAATTGGCCTATTCATAGTCACTGGAATGGAAGCACTCCAAGTATATCGTCAGCCAACCCCTACCAAATCTCTAATTTTCTTGACTCAAATCACCCCCCAACACAACAGTAATAATTAGGTGTTATCGCAACCAGGGAACTTTTATTCAATCTCAGGGATTATAACACATAGTTTTCTGTTTCAATGGATCTTTTTTAGTCCTTCAACTTTTCTCTACCTTGAATATCCATTTTCAAACTACGGCAGGAATTTGTTTGCAATCTGTTACCACACTACCTCATCGGCTGAACTATGACCTCAACTCTTGTCCCTCTACCTATACAATTTTTCCCAATCTCTCAGGTCTTTTACCCCATTCCACGCTTTTTTTCTCAACGGGTGCTCATTTCCGTTTCAAATTTCTTGCAAGTCGTATGCCCCACCTTCCTCACTTACCTCCCTCTTTTAACGAAGTTAGATGAGGGAAAAGAAGAAAAAGAATTTTGATGCTAATCTCAGGGTTAAACGCCGAGAACTGTCTTGTATTAAGCGCCCTTCTATGTAAACAAGAGAACGCTTTTGATTGACTGAAATAGAGCCTTTTGCTTCCATTTGGACTTACCTTTTATTGCTGATAGAACATCATATGCTACGAGAAGGCACTTAGCTTAGTTAGTTGGTAGCAAAATTGAGTTTTATTAGATCGGTCTCAGAAAAGCTGCTACATATAGCAAATGAGTCTAGATTAAGTACCATACCTTGGTGATGAATGTAATTGACAGTTTGCAAATAACGGTAATTGACGTTCAAGTCTCTCTTACCTAGGGCAAATTATTTGCTTTATGATTTCCGATTCATCAAGCTGGAGAAAAATATTCCGAACTGTTGAGACAAAATGAATTGAGGTATCTAATAAACTTTGTTTCTTCGCTGAAGTATATATGTGAGGCAAATGGAAAACATAGTAGTAAAATATGCTTAAAAAATCATTGATATTTATCTAAGGTTTTTCCAATTTTTGCAGTGCTACTAACAGAGATTCAGTAAAAAATATATTTCGATTTCCCTAATTAATTTTTTAACCGATTGGAGTCACCTAAGCTTAATGTCCAACTTTATATTTGATGTGAAAAATAAATTACGCTATATTTATTAAAGTTGAATTATTGTTGATATAACTACTTCCATTTTTTTAACATATTAGTAGTCCCCAAAAAATTAACAACTATTAACGTAACCCTAAACAGACGGGAAGTTAAGTAGAAATTAAAGTAAAGGAGATAAATTTTGCTTTATTTTCAGAGCCGCTCGTTTGAGTACAATTTCTTTACTGATGATGTCCAATTTGACCATAACCTAACGCTCCAAGGATAAATATTCTGGATTTGACACCAAGATAACTGAATTGGTTCTGAGCAGTCGAAACTATTTTGCCATCTCAAGGGACACGCATTAATAACGCAATGTTAGTCTAACATTACGTAAGTGAATGCGTAGTAACATATCATGGGGGGGGGGTGTGGGCTTCTGAACGCACGGCCGCACCTTCCCAAATGATCTAGGCGTGAATAAGAAGTGTTCGATAAGCCTTAATACCATTGTGCCCTCCACAGTACTGGCACAATAATTTGTATATTGGGGTGTGCGATAGACTTACCTCCACGTGGTGCACCCTGGGCAACGTATATTCATACGGCGAAAAAGTCTATTAACCGGCAGCTGACTTCTCACTTCAAACTACCATGGCCCGACTGCTAGCCATATTCGACTACTTCACAGTTCTCACCTCACCTCTTTTCTACCTTCGTCTTTGAAACACTCTTATGTTCCCTCCGCACTCCCTCTCGACTTTCTTTCATTTTGATGTTTCTTCCCTCTAATGGTAACCATCAAAACACCTGCCATTTGATATAACTATAATTTGTATATTTCAAAGGGCAGGCGTTCTGATAGTTACCGATAGCCATTGAGTTGACTTCGAGCTTCACAGAGGGGAGGAACACCAAAGTCACAAAAAGTCAAGAGGGAGAATATAAGAGTTATTCACAGATGTGAAAGAGTCGGACACAAAGGTAGAGAAAAAGGTAACCTGAGTATTGTGATAGCGGTCGAAAATGACAAGCGTTCGGGTCTTGATAGGTTGAACACAGAAGTTAAATGCGGGTTTATAGACCTTTTTGTCTTATGAGTATACATTGCTCAGGGTGTACAAAGGGGAAGTTAGCCTAACACACACCCATCGATATGATAATAGCTACTTATATAATCTAATCCATAAGACGGCTTCATTTTCGTTTGTGTAAATTAAGCAAGCAATAAATACGCTCAAATAGCAAACGAGAAGTGTCTCTGCCATGGTAGGTGCCTACTGTGTTCTGCATAGCTTTCCGGAAGCGTTATTTTGTTGTTTAAACGAATATTTTACTATTGCGGTTATTTCTAATAAGTGCTGTGTTGGGGCACTGGCCAGTTCCTTCAATGGAGCCTGGCACTTTTCGAATTTGGAAATCCTTATCACTGACTACTTTAAATGCTTTAACTGAATACCCATATCGAATTATGCAATAGTAAAGGAGCTCTGAGAGTACTAAAATCTCAAAAAGTTGTTCCAGAACACTCTCATAAGTGGCTAGATGGAACCAGAAATTTATACCCATTCTAATGTAACACCCGATGTAGTTTATACTCGTCTGTGTGTGTTAAAGGCAAGTTAGATTTAATGACACTGCATTGAAATATGGATCACAGGAGAAATTGCCATCTTTTCTGACCTGAAGAAAATTTATTTAAATGTGGAATTGACATTGACTTAGAAATGAATTTTTTCGATAGTCTATAATTGAGCAATCGCCGGGTTAGTACTTGCATGGGTGACCAGCTGGAAATACTCGGTACTGCTGACTTGGGGTGTGCGATAGACTTACCTCCACGTGGTGCACCCTGAGCAACGTATACTCATACGGCAAAAAGTCAATAAATCGGCAGTTGATTTCTGACTTCCAGCTATCATGACCCTATTGTATGTCATATTCGACCACTACCACAGTGCTCACCTCTCCTTTTTTGTGCCGTTGTCTGCCTGTCGCTTTTACATCTGTTATTCATTCTTCTATCCCCCCTCTCGACTTTTTGTCACTTTAATGTTCCCCCTCCCCTCTGTGAAGCTCGAAGTCAGCTAAAGGGCTAATGATAACTATCAAAACGCCTGCCATTTGAAATAAATAATTGAGCAATTTGTAGCATAATGCAATGGGAAATGACGCACATGTGTGCTTTAAGGGCTGAGTTTGAAAGCATTGAGTTGTTTTCTCAAAGGAACAGATACTTCGAACTGATTCGAGTAAAGAGAACTCGAAATTCACAGAATCTTTACGAATCAGACTTCATTTTCATATTATTAAGTCTAAATAACCAATATGCCAGACTGATCCACTTTTTGACGACAAAGTATTCATCCCCATGTATGCAG